GCCGCACCGCACGGCGGCTGGCCTCCCCGCGGGGCAGTGTGGGGGCCGGGCTCTGAGTAGGCCCCGCTCATTCCCTCCTGCCCACGAACGCCTCGGGGTGGGGTCCCCAGCTGCGGAAGGGGCCGGAGGGGGGCCGCCTTCTAGGCAGGTCCTGGCCTCCCCCACACCCCAAAATCCGTAGTCTAGACAGCAGTGCTTGGAGATGTGGCCCCGGGGGAGGATCCAGGACTCCTGCGCCCCTTGCCCTGGGGGCCCCTTGCCCCCAGTAAGCCTGGGTCTGGGTGCCAGACCTTCCAGGGGAGGAAAAGACCCCATGCAGGAGGCTGTGAGGCCCAGGAGGGGCTTTGGGGACAGACAGCCCCCACCCCACCTCTTAAGGCCTCTTAGGCCCCAACTCAGGGCCTCCTTCTGAGTGGCGACAGCTCCAACTGGCCTGGCTGCCACTAACCCCGTGGGGACAAGGAGGGGATGATGAGGCCTTGCGGGGAGGTACAGGGAAAGAGCTCCAGGTCTTTGGGTCCCTCCTACTGAGAGAGGGCCAAGGGATTTCGGGATAGGAACACCGGGAGCCCGCGGTCCCCTGCCTCTGGGGCAGCCTGAGTGGTGGGTCTCTTCTCCTCCACCCCACCCCAGCCCCAGCTCAGTGAGGAAGGGAGATGGAAAATGTATGAGCCGGGCAGGGGGTCCTGGAAGGTTCTGGATTGGGAGCGAAGAGGGACAGATGCCCGTGCGTCCTTCCTCTCTCCTTAGAAGCCCTGTGGCAGTTAGGTCTCCAGTTAGCCGTCTGGAAGATGTCCCTTTGTGTGGTGGGAGGGGCCTTCCTGGATGGGTGAGCCCATGGACTCTCTCCCAGCGCTCCAGGCGGAAGGCTGATGCCTGCCCCCCCACTGAGCTGGGACCTGTAGACCCTGCCAAGCCCACTGTGTGGCCAAAGGCTGGAGTTCTTGAACCTCCAGAGCCTGGTGAAGGCTGTGGACCACTGCCCTCTCCCCCCAGAATTGCACACACAACACTTGCCGTACAGTGTTCAGGGGTTCAGAGCCTCTGGGCTGGGTGACATCACTGTCCCCTCCAGCTCTGCCCTTCTAGGATCCAGAGAATCTCTCCTCAGACTCCACCCTGAGCGTTTCCTGCTGCTGCAAATAGACCTTAGTCTCGTGAGTCTGTGGTGAAGACAGCCAGGTCTTAGGAGGCCTGGAGGCCTGGCAGGAGAGGAATCTTCTGGGGGTGGGAGCCCTGCCCGGGCCTGGCTGCCCTTCGGCCCCTGGGGCCCATGCATGCATGTGGTTCCCCGCAGAGCAAGACACTCGGGGCCCAGGGGCTAATTGGGAACAGGTGGTGGGGTTGGCAGACGCTGCAGAGTCGGGGCTATGATGGTGGCCGAGAGGGGCTGGGGTCCTGAGGATGGGCCTGGGGTCAAGGGTTTCCATGATCAGTGCACCAGGCACCGGGAGGTGCTGAATCGGAAGCGGGCACGGCTGCGGGCCAGGAGAGCAGAGTCAGAGCTAGCGGGGGGGCTAGAAACGTGCCCTCGGTGAGAAGGGCAGGGTGGGTTCTGTCCGCTTGTAAGATCAACTCTGGAGCGAGGTTGGGGGCCTTGTGACTTGGGACCTGAACACCCAGTGGGCCCTCGGGGACAGCTGATGACCCCGCTTCCAGCCAGCCTCTACTCCCCGCACCTCCTGCCTGGCTTCTGTTCCCAGCACCCCCTTCTTCACCGGGCTAGATGCAGGGGAGCAGAGGTGGGCTCCACAGTCCTGGGTGAGTGGGTCCAAGCTACAGCCCACCCCCCCCACCCCCTCCAGCTGTCCTGACACCAGCCCAGACTGCCACCACAGCCATGAGCTTCACCTCTTCCTGCCTGCCTGGGTTGGGGCTCCCCTTGTGTGGCTGGGGGTTGGGAGCTGGCAGTGAGCCTTTATTGTGCCCCCTGTGGCCAGCACTCAACTCCCCGGTCCCGGGACCTTCCTGGACCAAGCTGGGACTGCGGGCACTGGCCAACCCCTCCCCAAAGCATGAGCCCCGAGCCTCACCCCAACCTCCACAGCAGCAGCCAGGCAGGAGGCCTTCCAGGAGGAAGCCTGGATGTAGGAGGGGAGGCACCCAAGGCAGGGAGTCTGTAGGTCTGCTCCTAGACCCATTGGGGACCCAACTTCGGGCCCCCCCACCCCCACTTCCACCTCCCCCCCCCCGCCATGCAATCTTGACTTTGGGAGGATCCCTATTGGTGAAATGAGTGAGTTATCCATAGGGATCAGCACCCGCCATAGCTAACATTTGTCTACTTGATACTGAGCTCCTAACATGTGCCACACACCACACCTGGGCAGGCCAATGATGACCTGGGCAGACATACCCTGCCTTCTTGGTGCTGCCCTGCCTAGAGAAGGGAGGCTTATATCAAGTGGTGGCCATGATAAATGCCAGTGCGTGTTGAGCATGATGGAAATAAACAGAGAACTGATGGAGAGGGTGGTAGGCCGGAAATCCACCTTTGCAGAACTGAATTTTTAGCTGAGATCTGAGAAGTTAACCAGATCACAGGCCTAGGAAAGTCGAGCAAAGGCCCCTGGGGCAGACAGGAGTGTGCTGGAGGAACAGCTAGGAGGCTAGCAGGGAAGACAGGCCAGAAAAGGTCTGTGAGGTGCCCAGGAGCCGTGGGCTCCTTGTAAGGCCTCTGTGGGGTGGGTCAGGAAGGAGTTTGGATCCCTGTTGTAGTGGGATCTAGGGTCTTGCCTGCCTGCCTTGGGAGTCTCTTGTCTGCCCAGAAGTGTTGTCCTTCCTGCAGGACCCCTCATGCTTTGTTTCACAGCGGCCTTCAGGCCAATATGACCCAGACTCTGGCTCCCTGCCCTCGAACACGCCCAGCACACCCACCACAGTGACCAGATAGGTAAGGGACTTGCCCCCCGCTTCCAGCCCCCTCCCCACCGGCCATCATCATGTCTGGCTCCCAGGTGTACCACGCAGGCTGGGGACCAGGTGTAGGGTGGTGGGAGTCATAGGGGGGTGGTCCCGGTGTAATGCGACCCCTCAGCAGCTCCCCCAGGAGTCAGCCTGACCCCAGGCAACCCCTCAAGATTCATCTTTGTTCTTAGACCAACTGACTACCAAGGACACAAGGTAAAGGGCTGGGGTGGGCAGGCGGCAAGGCTGAGCTGGGGTGGAGAGATGGGAGTGGGACCTGTCGCCCGCCCCCCCCCCGACCTGTGAGGTGCCGGCTCCCAGCGGAGCAGTTCCAGTCCCAGCAGCAAGTCCAGCAGGAGGTCGCCCTGGCTCCCACCCCCAGGTAGGCTGCCGCTCCTGTGAACCCTGGGAGCGGGCGTGGTCTGTGCCGGGCGGGCTGGTGCCTGAATGGACCCCTCCTGTTCGCCTGCTCTTCCTGACACCAGCACCTAGAACAAGGAGACAGAGCCCACGAGCCTGGGCCTCTGCAAGAGCTTCCTGACAGTTGGAGAAACAGAGTGTTCTGTGAAGGGGTAGAGCCGATTGCAGCTGATGGGACAGAGACAGACAAGCCTTTATTTTGCCGGGCTGATGGCAGGGTCGGGGCTTGTGCAGAGGCCAGTGCTTTAGGGCAACCTGGCAGGCCCCCCGGGAGCCTGCAGGAGACGCCCCTTGCCCCCCCCCCCCCCCGTTGGAGACTGCAGCCTCAGGAAGGCCCTCCACCCCAGACACTGGGAAGAGGAGGGGAGCGTGCTGGGGCTTCCTGCCCGCCTGCCAGCCAGGAGGGTGGTGCCTGTATCAGCGAGGAGAGAGGGACCAGAAGCCCAGGCCAGCTGAGCCAGCCCCTCGTCACCACCGAGACGTGGAGACGGGCCAGACCTGGCACAAGGCAGGCTGCTCGCCACTCCGTGAGCTCAGGTGTCCAAGGCAGGCTCCTCCTCGGTGCCCGCCCAGTTGCTGGTGGACTTGGGTGACCGTTGTGTGTGGGTGCGGTTGTGTTTGAGCTTATGCCCGTTCAGGTGGTCGCGGTTTCCGTTGGTTGCAGACTTCATGTATGCATATACAAAAAATCAAGCCCTGGGAGCCCCAGCAATGCTGTCTATGCTGTGTGTGTGTGCGTGCGTGCGTGTGTGCCTGCGCTGTGCCAGAGGGCGCAGGGCGGACCTAGACCCCACGATGAGAGCCAGTCTCGGTGGGCATCGTTGGGGGCTACGCTACGCCCAAGCTGCGGCCCCTAGTCTGATCCTGCCCGTCACCCAGACTGCCGCGAGGAACAGTACCCGTGCACCCGCCTCTACTCCATCCACAAGCCCTGCAAACAGTGTCTCAATGAGGTCTGCTTCTACAGGTGAGCACAGGCGGGGTTTGGGGGGCAGGGCAGGCAGCCACAGTGCCCCCCGCCCCGAGGTGGGACTGTGGGGGAGCATGAGCCCCGAATTGAACTCCACTCGGGTGAGCCCAGGCCTAGGGGCGGGGATGCGTGGAGCCCCCCTGGCGGGGCCGGGGGTGACCCCACTGTCCTGGCTCCACCCCCCAGCCTCCGCCGCGTGTACGTGGTCAACAAGGAGATCTGTGTCCGCACGGTGTGTGCCCACGAGGAGCTCCTCCGAGGTAGGGAGGCCTGCACCCCCACACCTTCCCCCTCCCCACACCCACTCGCCACTTCTTCCTGTCCGTCCACCTGGTGCTTATTAAACCCGTGTTCCGCACCGCGGCCACTTCCAGGGGGCTCCTGAACTCCCTCCCGGCTGCTTCTCCTCAGAACATTCCCTGTCCCGGGATCGGGAAGGGGCCGATGGTTTCCCATGACCAGCCTCTCCCTGACCCCGACTCCTTGCCCCCCGCAACAGCTGACCTGTGTCGGGACAAGTTCTCCAAATGTGGCGTGATGGCCAGCAGTGGCCTGTGCCAGTCCGTGGCGGCCTCCTGTGCGAGGAGCTGCGGGGGCTGCTAGGGCGGAGCCAGCACCCCAAGCCCTGGGCCTTCCTCAGATCTGGGGCCCTCGGGCCCTGCCTCACCTGGTGCTTTTCTCCCCAGCCTGACATTCCTTTTATCCTGTAAAAAGTTAGTGGACTGTGGCCCTGGGGGTTTGTCTCAGGCCCCTCCCCCAGCCTGTGGCCACCCCTGGGGCACAATGGGGGCTCCCCACGGCCCAGTTTTCGCCCCCAGAGGAGGGGCATCCCAGGCCTCTCGGTGGGACCTGGGCCTCTGATGTGCCTTCTCAGTCCCTCGAGGACAGTCCCCCTGCCCACCAGCCCCTTTGAGGTAGGCTGTGCCCCTCACCCCAGCCGGTCTGCTTGGACTTCCTACAGCTCCCGGGCATAGACCACCTTTGTTTTATACAAAATTAAAATTGTTTTTACAAAAGCTTTAGTCATTTCTCAGTTGGGAGCACAGAGCGGGTGGCCAGGTGTCTCTGACACTGCCTATCCTCATTGAGAGGCTGCCTGGCCCCTTGGGGAGAAGGGACCGTTCAGGTGACCTGTGGCCTTGCCTCTGCGGTCCCAGTCCTGCCTCCTCACCCACCAGCTTCAGCTGACCGCCCCCCCCCGCCCCAGAAAGGTGGATCATGACCACTGCCCCCTCCAGGTCCTGCGTCGGGGGCGGGGGGGGGGGGCACTGCAGAGGGCTGCGTTGGAAATAGAAGGTTCAGGTTCAGGGATACAGCTTTCTCATTGGGCTGCTCAGTGAGGGCGTGAGTGTCCTGTCATCAGAGGCATGCAGGCCAAGACGGGAGGCCACCCATGTGGAGGCGCAGAGGTGTTTATAGGGTATAAAGCAGGTCATGGGAGGTGGGCTCTGAGATCCGCCTTTGCGGGGAGGGCTGCGAGTTTGGGGGGGCAGAAATAGAGGCCCAGGCTCCACGTGAGCGATCAGCACGCAGTCCTGTTTGCCTTCCAGACAGGCCCACGTGGCGGGCACAGGTAATTTCGCCACCTTACGGACAGGAAGCCCAGAGGCATTAAGTGACCCACCAAGGAGCCACAGCTAGAAGTGGCAGAGCGGGGGGGGCACCACCCGACCCCATCAGACTCCACGGAGACGAGTACGTTCTCCTCGGAGACCCTGAGCACCTGCCACGTGTGCCTCCTCATAACCACCCTGTGAGGCACGTTCCCAGTTTACAGATGAGCAAACCAAGGCTCTGAGAGGTCACGCAGCTTTGCTAGGCTCACTCAGCGGAGCCAGGGCAAGACCCACGTTCACTCCCAGGCCCGCACACTGCCTGAGAGGCCTGCCACGGTGCAGAGGGTGGGCCCAGTCCTAACGAGGGGCCAGAGAAAGGGGCCAGAACGCTGTGGCTGGAAAGAGCCGGGCTGTGCAGTTTGGGCCTCAGCAGCCCCGTCTGTTACATGGGATGGGTGGTGCGGGACCCTGGAGACCTCCCCACGTCAGCATCCTGTGAGGCCAGAAAGTTCCACGGGCCTTTCCAAAGACCCCATCTCCCCCTGCACCCCTGCCCCAGGCCCCCTGTGTCTCCCCACCCATCTCTCGAGTGGAGGAAGGCACACTGAAGTAAGGGGACACATCTGTACAAACCATTTTTAGAAAACGGGGTCTTTTGTTACAAAAAAACAACAGTTCTGAACAGTTAACATTGTAAAAAGGTATAAAAATACAGGGACTCTGAGGAATTTCCCGACAAACACTCTGAACTAAGGCGGAGAGATCTCTGGGAAGCCAGGGGAGGGTCTGGGTCTCTGACTCCGAGGCACCGCTCCTCTTTCCCATGAGCCCATGCTCTAGGGCCAGCCAGGGGCAAAGGGGTCTCCCTGACCCCCTGGCTTTGGCTCAGACACTCAGGTGACCTGGCTGCTCATCCCAGGGGTGGGGACTGGACTGAGGTGGGCCCTGGATGCCGCTAAGAAGCTGCTACCGGAGTCCCTGGCGTCCAGCATGGCCACCTGGCTCCTCCCTACCCTGAGCTGAGCTCTGGGCCAGGGGGCCACCCAGGAAGGGGCTCATTCCCCTGGGGGGCCGGAGGTTTGGGGGAAGGATGCTGAGCTCCTCCGGAGCTCCTGCTGCAACTGTCCCTTCAGTGTGGACACCTGGGAAGAAAGAGAAAGTAGGGCCAGCCTGGTCCCCAGCCTGATGCCAGAGAAAGGGGCATGTGGCTGCAGCTGGGACCCCAGAACGGACCCAGTCCTGCCCGCTTCAGGAAAAAATGGGTCTCATTAAACACCAGGGTGCTTCCTACCCCTTCTGTCCCGACCCACGTGGCAGCTGCTGACTGCTCCTTGGCATCTTGTCAGGAGCCACCCGTCCCCACTCTCATCACTTAGGCAGGCCTGGCACCAGCCCCACCAGGGGTGCCTGTGACCCAGGCCTGGCCCTACCCAAGCAGCCTTGTCCTGCACACGTCAGGTCAGGGATGGCTGGGAAGGAGTCAGGGACTAAGCAGGCCAGGAAGGGTCATCCCTGGGACTTATGCTGTTGCTCTAAGGAAAAAGGCCCCCTCTTTCCTCCGGGATGGTAGCTTGTCGGGATAACCTAGGCTGGGGCTGCTGAGGCCACGTGTGCCACCCAGGAGACAACAATGAGGACAGTAGAGCCACAGCACGGGGACGGAGTTCCAGTGACATCACTTGAGCCCGTGTCCAGCCATGACGGAGACCAGCACAGATCCCCTGGACCACTTCGGTCCTAGGTGCCGCCGACTGCTCACACCCGAGGTCACAGCCAGCCCTCTCCCGCTCCTCCCCCCGAGGGCGCTTCTGCAATATCCTGGGGCAGGGCCAGAACCCGGCCAGGCCTGAGCACCTGCTCTTCCAAACCGCGCACGCGCTGCCGGTGGGCCCGCTCCCGAGCCTCCAGGGTGCGCTCTGTCTGCACCTGGGCACTGCGCAGGCGCTCCACCTCCCGCTCTACCTCCCGCTGCTGCTGCTCCGCGGCCTCCAGCCGGGCTGGGCTCTGGTCCTGCTCCAGTGCCACCACCTGGGCCTGCGGGAAGAGCAGCAAGTCAGGGGTGTGGCCCTGGGGGGGGGGGGGGGGGGCGGGCACTCCCAGGAATGGGAGCCTAGAGGGCCCCTCAGGACAGTGCAGGCGGGGGGGAGCAAAAGAGATCCTGGTTTGTCCCCCATGTTCCTGGCCCCCCGGGTCTGCGAATCCGGGGTCAGGGTACCTAGTGACCCCGCTGACAGGCGTGCACATGCGCACACCGTGCACACACGCGCAGACGTAGTCAAACGTGGACACGCCCACATTCGTACCGGCCCCAAAGCAAGCACGGAAGTACTTAGCCCTTGGTCACAGGGACGCGTGCCTACGAGCAAAGCTCCAATACTCCTACATCTACAGACAGGAAGACTTCGGTACAGGAAGATACACACACACCTGGAACACGTTCCTGACACGCAGACTTGTCACATCTGTGCGCGAGTCACGTTACATGCAGAACACTCCCATGCACGCTCACGCCTCCATGTTCCACAACACGCAAACACACAGGCTCACACGCTAACCGGCATCTCTCTCCTCTCCACTCTGGGGAGGACCCCTCTAGGACCTTGCTCTGGGCTGTGCCCTGCAAGAGTCTGGGCTCGTGGGTTATGGAGGTTGAGGACCCTGGGCTGGCTGAGCCATCAGCAGCTCCTGGGAGGGTCTGGCACTCAGGCCTGGGGCAGGGGTGGGGCCCGGGTCAAGGGCTAGGGAGAGAGGGGGTGGCCAGGGGCTGGACCTCCAGCAGCTGGATCTGCCTCTGGGCCTCAGCCAGCTCCAGCTCAGCCCCCGTGAGCGTGCGGTCCAGGCGGCCCTTCTCGGCGCTCAGCCGCACCGTGTCCTCATGGCTGCGAAGCTTCTCGCGCTCCACCTAGGCCGGGAGAGGAGGAGGGCGTTAAGGCACCCGGGGGAAGGGGCGAGGGGGGCTCCCGTGAAGAGGGAGGGGCGCAGAGAGGGGTGTTAGGTTAGAGGCAGCAGGAGCAGGAGCCGGAGGGCACCTGAGGCCCCCGGCCCTGGGGACGTAAGGCCAAGACCCCGAGGAAGTGGGGGGACGGCGCCGGCGGCTCAGCCCACCTTGTCCAGCATCCTCTTGAGGGCCACCCGGTCCTTCTCCAGCCGCAGCGCTGACCGCTCCACCTCCCGCTTCTCGGCCTCCAGCTGAGCGAGGGCTCGCTGCAGGCCGTCCAGGCGCTCCTGGAGCAGCCGCCGCTCCTCCTGCAGCTTCTGGACCGCGTTCAGGGCCACTGCCTCCCCCTCCTGTCGCTGCCGCAGCACCTGCAGAAGCCGGCAGGCCCCTAATGCCTCCGGGCCTCGGTGCATGTGCCTCTGAAGCTTGGGGATGGTGAGGCCAGCCTTGGCCCCGCAGGGGGGGTGGTGAGGCCCCCATCAGAGAACTATCACCCAAGGCCACGCTGTTCTCTGAGCCTCAGCTTCTCCATCTGCGTAATGGGGGCGCAGGTTGAATGAACCACGCTTCCTCACGGGAGGCTGGGCCCGGGTTCGGGATGAGGTGGGGATACGGAAGGTCCCGCTGCATCCTGAGGGCCTCGGCGTCCCGGGGACAGAAGGGGCCCATCGTGGCCCTCACCTCCTGAAGCTGTTGCAGCTGGCCCTCTGCCTCTGCCCGCTGCACCTCCAGGTCCGCCAGCTCGCCTCGCATTGTCTGCACCTGCTCACTCAGGGAGCTGCTCTGCTTCCGGGCCTCCGATAACGCCTGCCGAGCGGCCTCCAGCCGTTCCTGGGGGGCAGGGGCGTTTGATGCCAGGATGGAGCAAAGGCTCCCCTCTACTCTGTACCTCTGGGTCAGGGTTACAACCCACAAGACAGCCCCAAAATCTTATCTGGAGGGCGAGGCAGACAGCAGGCCTGGCCCACTGACCTGCATGACCCCGTATCTGGGTCCCTCAAGCCTATACCAGTAGGCGAATCCTTATTGCCCCCGCCCACCCCAAGCCCCCTCCTATTGGCCAATGCTCCTACTGGGAGCGCCTCAAAGCGCTCAGGGACTGGCTCCCTAGGGTTCCCAACTGACTGTCCTCCAAGGGCCCCTCCAAGCCTGCCCTGGTTGGCTCTCACTGGGGCCACCCCCGGCCAGGCCCTGGAACCCCCGTACTTGGAGAACTTGGCGGTCATGTTCACAAGCGGTCAGGGCCTTCTGCAGGTGCAGATTCTTGTCCTGGGTGCTGGTAAGGTTGGCGCTACTCTGGGCCAGTGCTTCTGACAGGCCCTGCGCCTTGTCCCGCAAGGCTCCCTCGCTCTCTTCCATCTTGGCCAGGGCCCCGTTCAGCCGCTCCACTGTCAGCTGCAGAGTCCCCGCCTTCACCTCACTGTCTGCCACCTGGCAGGAGGGCAGACAGGACAGTGAAGTGGCTCTGCTCTCACCCTGGCCTCCAGCAGGAACGGTGAACCCAAGCCAAGCTCCTCCCACCCCTGCCTAGGCCTTCATCACCGACCCTCATTGTTCCCATGCGCTCCCACTGGCTCAGCCCACTGCAGCCTAGGCTCCGTCCCGCTGCTGGTTTTAACTACCCTCACCCGGAGTGCCACACACCCGGATGTCCCAGACCCCAGGGTCTCCTCCCCTGCCAGGGAGGAGAAAAGGTAACCACCACAATCCAGAAATGTTCTGTGTTCTTGACTTTGGTGGGTGCCCTTGTAGGACTAGCAGAGTAACTGAACGTTCTAGTTAGAGCTGAGCTCCCTGGCAGCCAAGGCAAAAAAGGGACATGAGTGAAACCTATATCTCTAACTTGTCCCACATGTTTCCTAGGAATGAAGATTCTGGTGTCAAAGAGTCCTAAATTCTAATTTCGGCTGTGTCTCTTAGTAGCTATGTGATCTTGGGTGATGGTAGCCCCTCTCTGTCTGTCTGTCTGTCCACCAAATGAGGATGATGCTTGCCTCGGGGTTGTCGGAAGTATTACGTAGTCCCCGTAAAGCACCCGGCACTGAGCGTGCAGATGAGAAACCCGCAAAGGGTAATGGGGACCCACCTGTCTCTGCAGGGAGTCCACCCGATCCTGGAGGGCCTGGGCCTGGGCCTCACGGTCACTGAGGCCCAGGCGGCTGCGCTGCAGTTCCCCCTCGAGTGAGCGCCGCTGCAGCTCAAGCTTGATGGTGCGGCTCTCAGAGGCATCCAACACCTCCTTCAGACGCCGCTTGTCACTCTCCAGCTTCACCTCATTGGCCTTCATCTTGCTGATCTTCTCCTGCGGGTGGGGGAGGGGTCAGGCCCCAGCCACCCAGCCACCCCCGACCCCGCACCTCCCACACCCCGTCAGGACCCTCAGGAGAAAGTGGGGAGCAGCCTTGAAGTGGCTGGCCCAACCCCTCACTGTGTGACCTGGGGCCAGCCTATAACCCTTGCGAGGCCCTCCACCTCCCCACATGTTCACAGGATGGGTTGACCTGAGGATCCCAGAGCGCTTTCTGGATCTGGCTTATCTGGCCTTTCTGTGATCCAGGATTCTCCCTTCCTGTTCTGTGGCCCGACCGCACATCTGTGCAGTGGGGAGACTGCACGGGCCCAGGGGTACCACGAAGTGTTCGCAGAGCCCCGGGGTGGGAAGGGAGGGTGAAAAGGCAGATTCCAGGGCTTCCCTGTTCTGCTGCATCACTCCCCAGAGCCAGGCCCAGAAGCTGCATTGTGTGATCTGAGCTGAGTCAGGTAGGAGCCTTGGGCCCCCCCTGGTTTTAGGGCATGATGTTCCTCCCTCCCCCACATGGGGTCAGACAGTAAAAAGAGGCTTGAGGAGTAGGGAGAGGACAGGAAGACAGACTGAACCCCCCCAAGCCCGGCCCCCTGCCGCCGTGCTCAGAGCCCCAACTCTGCCATGTCTGGGCCCGGCAGCCCCACTCTGGCCCCTGCCCAGCTTTGTTCCTGGCCTCCTCCCGCGGCCCCTGCGGCTGGGCCGGAGGCCAGAGCTGGAACCACAGACATAACAATCCAGCTCGAACTTGACCTGGAGCCAGAGACAGGGGGTGGGCTGTGGGGGCAA